ACTTAATTATATGTTAATTAGGGTAAAAGAAAGAGGGTTTGAATAAGAAAATAGAGAGAACAAGAAGAGAGCGAAATTGATCGATAAAGAGGCAGAGGGAATATCAAAGCTTGGGAAATTGCTTGTTGATTCCAATTCTTCGGTGGAGGTAGGTTATGGTTTTCATATTTCATAAGTAAACTCGTAATAGTGAATGATATGTATTGGTAGTATTGTAAACCCTACTATATGCTTAATGGTATGTTTGCATGAATATGATTATGTGATTGTGATAAGATAAGCATGATGAAAATATCGAATCCCAAATCTTGAAAAGAAACTTTAATATACATTATTAATGATGATGCCTTGGTATAGAAGAAGGCTTGATGAATTAAAGTAATGGGATTGATGATGCCTTGGAATAGAGAAGGCTTGATGATTTACAAAATGATATTAGTGGATCGGAGTGTCACGTTCCGACACATACTATTAGTGGATCGGAGTGTCACGTTCCGACACATAGAATTAGGGGATCGGAGTGTCACGTTCCGACACATAGAATTAGGGGATCGGAGTGTCACGTTCCAACACATAGTATTACTGGATCGGAGTGTCACGTTCCGACACATGTAGGGGATCGGAGTGTCACGTACCGACACATGTAGGGGATCGGAGTGTCACGTTCTGGCACATGTAGGGGATCGGAGTGTCACATTCCGACACATAGAATCAGGGGATCGGAGTGTCACGTTCCGACACATAGAATTAGGGGATCGGAGTGTCACGTACCGACACATAGTAGTAGGGGATCGGAGTGTCACGTACCGACACAAGAACAGGAAAGATAATGAATCTTGAAAGATGATAATATACTCAACTTAATATACTTAATTCCCAAATGAGTATGGTGTTGAGGCTTGAGCCCTCATGGATGCACTTGATGGTACTTATTGATGATTATAATACTTGTTGTTGCTACATGTTGAGTTTTATAGTTGATTTACGATAATATTGATATATACTGTTCCCTATTTTGAGTTGGCCGATGATATCTACTCAGTACCCGTGGTTTGTACTGACCCCTACTGTTATGTTTTTCTTCTTGTTATTTGTGGAGTGCAGCAAACGTGCCATCATCTTCGACCCAACAGTAACTCAAGCCAGTCTTCGTCACACCGAATCTTCAGGGTGAGCTAACGCTTCTAGCTTGGACTGGATCTTCTCCTTCATGTCTTGATGCCTTGAACTTCCGGCATGGACTAGCTTCTTATGTATTTTTAGCTTCTTAGAAACTCTTAGAATTAGTAGTTTAAAGTAGATGTTCTTGTGATGATGACTTCCAGGTTTTGGGAATAATAGATGTTGAATATTGATAGTTATTGAATTGGTTTTTACTAATGAGTTTAAGTCTTCCGCATTACTTTCTGTTTATATTATATTGAAATGTTAAGGTTTAGATTTGTTGGTTCGCTCACATAAGAGGGTAAGTGTGGGTGCCAGTCGCAGCCCGGATTTGGGTCGTGACAGTTTGCAATATAATCTTCAATGTATTCTTGATTTAACGTCAACATAAAGGAAAGATGATGCGGTTTGATAGTATTTCTTTTGACATCATCTTAGATGCTCTTCTTGATGTTTACTTTTATCAAAATAAAGACTGCAGTTGATGTCGATGGATATATATTTCTCGTAGGATGCACGATTTCCTTTTCTGGTAGTGCATGACTTCTTTCTGGGCATGAATATCTTCCCGCGATGCTTAAATTTTTGTGAGGTATGAAATCTTTTCATGATGAATAACTTTCAATAAGGCATGAGATCTTCTCGTGATGCATAAATTTTTTCGAGGTATGAAATCTTTTCGAGATGCATGAATTTCTGCGAGGTATGAAATCTTCTTGCGACGCAAAAATTTGTGCGAGGTATGAAATATTCTCACTATGCTTGGATATTAACTCACGATGAATGATCTTCCGCGATGCATGAATATTGACTCACGATGCATGGATATTGACTCGCGATGCATGATCTTTCGTGATATATGGATATTGACTCGCGATGCATGATCTTCCACGATACCTGGATATTGATTCGCAGAGAATGATCTTATGCAGGTCATGAATATCTTCCTACTATGCACATATATTATCTCTTGATATCATCCTTGGTACTAAATGAAAATAGTGTTTCAATAGAGCAACATAGTGATCTTCTGGGCGCTTTGTGGATAATCGATCATCTCCAATGATGATAACGGTAAAACGACTTCCAGATAGTATATCACCTTGATCGATAATAAAGTAACTGACCCCTCTGGGTAATGCATAATATCATATCCAACATTATGATGCAAATGACGTCCTTTACGAAAAATTGTAAACTCTTCGTTGAGATTTTTGATTGATTCACCTTCGAATATAGCTGGACGTTCTTTATAAATTTCATTTTGTTAGAAATTGATTGAAATAAATAATTCATATTTCCAAGTCTCCGACATAAGCGATATAAAATGATTCCTGCTTCCATGAAAACTATTGATTTTGGGATAGTTATCTCCTCCTTTGACTTCTCCATATTCATCCATCGAAAGAGTTTGCTGATTTCCGAGCAAACCTATAAACCTGCGTCCACAGAAAAATTGTTAGTTTTAAAAACGAGCTGATCTGTGTTGATTTCTTCAGTTGTCTGCTCCTTGTCCTACTATCTCAGTTGATTTTACGATCTCCCGACTCTTGATAGATAAGACAGAATATTTTGTGCCAAAATAAAAGAAACGTAAAAGGGAAAATTTAAGAGAAATAAATTTTTGATAAAAAGTATCTGAAAATGGTCACTGCCAAGTCATGTCATATCAGGCTTAGTAAAATTTTTTGAGTCTGAAGCATAAGGTTTATCTGATTATTCACTGGGGAGTTTTCAGAGTCACTCCGGATTTGTAGATAAACCCATGCTGAAATTTTGAGGCCATCCTCAAAATTTCTGTCTCAATTAACAAGCTTGCTTATCTTTCCAATTTAACTGAGTAGATCGCGGAATTTTTTAAATCTTCTCAAAAATTCTGTCCCAGTTGCAAATCTCAAAATATCTTCCGTTTTAACTTGTTGAGAAAGAGTCTTCTCGAGAATTTTTGAATCCCTCTCAAAAATTCATTCCCAATTTCTATTGTAAAGAAGAATGGAAATCTTACGGGAGATATGGCCGAACCCTTGTGGCGCCTACGTGTCTCGTTGGGGTAGGAATTAGGTAAAATGTAGTTTCCGTCAGGGATAACAAAATAAGGAAATTTACAAATATATCTAGCGAGGCCGACATAGGACGCCTACGCATCTCATTCTTTAAAATTCAGGTTGAACGTAGTCCAAATATAAAGAAATATTTAAAAGGGATAAATCGGGTGAGCGAGGCCGACATAGGCCGCCTACGTATCTTATTCTTGAGAATTCAGGTCAGACGTAGTTCATTGTAAAGGGATAAAATTTAAGCAAAACAAATACAATAAAACAGAATGATTACAAGTAAATAACAGAAATGCAAAACGAAGCTTCATATGTCGTATCACTTGACAGCGTCTGAGTTGATAGGTTAAGGCCATGCGGTGCCATCCATCTCCGATAGGACCAAAGAACCTCCAGATAATAATTTGTGAACCATGTAAGGACCTTGTCAATTTTGCACAAATTTTCCTTTGTATTCGTCTTGATGAGGGAAAATGCTCTTAAGGACCGACTGATCAACTTCAAAAATTTTGGCTCTTACTCTCTTATGAAAAGCACGAATCATTTTCTGTCGATACAACTGATCATATAAAATAGAAATCATTCTGTTCTTGTCAATCAAAGTTAGTTGATCAATGAGCTTTCTGACCCATTCAACATTACTTAACTCAACTTCTCGGATGATTCTCAAAGACGGTATTTCGATTTCAGCAAGTATGACTACTTCTGTCCCATATGCTAGCAAGTATGGGGTAGCCCAGTCGAAGTTCTAACAGTCGTCCGATGACCCAATTGAGCATATGGCAACATCTCGTGCCAACCTTGATGATTGTCAATCATTTATTTCAGAATCTTCTTGATATTCTTATTGGCGGCCCCTACAACTCCGTTCATTTGAGAACGATAAGCTGTTATGTTTCGGTGATTAATCTTAAATTGCTCACATATATCTCTCATCAAGTGACTGTTGAGATTTGCACCATTGTCGGCAATGATGGATTTGTGCACTCCAAATCTTCATATAAGATTGTTACGAACAAAATCAGCGACAACATTCTTGGTTACCGACTTGTAAGAAGCTGCTTCCACCCACTTGGTAAAATAGTCAATGGCGGCCAAAATAAATTTGTGTCCATTAAAAACGGCTGGCTCTATCGGAGCTGTGAGTCCATGACCCAAGCTACAAACGGGCAAGGTGAACTCATAGAATTAAGTTCGTGAGGTGGCACTCGGATCAAATCACCGTGCACTTGACATTTATGACATTTTTGCACAAAATTGCAACAGTCGTTCTCCATAGTTATCCAAAAGTGGCTCGTAATATCTTTCTTGCCAAAGTGAGTTCATTCATATTGGTGCCGCATACTCTCTTTGCGGCTTCGACAATATCGACGCATCTTAAGAGACCTAAATACGGGGTCCTCCTGTACGAGATTTCTCCACTTAGAAAGAAATTGAGAGACATACGACATATCAACTACTTCTGGTTGGACGTGGCATCTTCATGATAAATCCCGGCGTCCAAATACTTCTTTATATCAAAATACTATGGCAAACGGTCAGGTTCTGCTTTAACATTTAAACAATAGACCAGATGTTCTTTCAACTATATATCCAAAGGGTCGATATAATCAGTATCTGCATGTTTTATCATAAAAGCATGGTGGCAAGGGCATCAACCAACTCATTCTGTATTCTGGGAGTATGTCTGAACTCGATCTCAGGGAACCTTTTGCACAACTTTTGTACATACTGCATGTAAGGTATAATTTTCAGATTCATCACAGCCCATTCTCCTTGAACTTAATGAATCAACAAGTCTGAATCTCCAATAACAAGAAACTCATGAACATTCATGTCAATGACCATTTTCAAACCAAGAACACAAGCTTCATACTTATCCATGTTGTTCGTGCAATTAAATTGGAGCTTAGCTGCCATGAGATAGTGCTGACCAGATTGTGACACTAAGACCGCTCTGATGCCTTTCCCTTGATGATTCGCCGCTCCATCAAAGAATACTCTCCAACCTGGAAACATTTCAGAAATATCTTCACCCACAAATGACAATTCTTCATCGTGAAAATAAGTCTTAAGTGGTACTCTTTATGAACGAGATTTTCAGCAAGATTATCAGCCAAAATCTTGTGCTTTTATCACCTTCTGAGTCACATACACAATATTAAACTCACTGAACATCATTTTCCACTTTGCTGATTTTACGGTCGGCAATGCCTTCAGGAAAATATAATTCAATTGGTCCATTCTTGAAATGAGGTATGTAGTATAAGAAGACAAATACTGTCTCGGCTTCTAGGCAAGCCATGTCAAAGCACAACACATTCTTTCCAACAGAGTGTAACGAGACTCGTATGGAGTAAACTTCATGCTTATATGAGAGATATCCCTTTCCTTGTTTCTAGTCTCGTCTTGTAGACCAAGTATGCATCCGAATGCACTATCTAAGACAAACAAATACAACAACAAAAGATTCCCTTCTCGCAGAGGAACAAATATAGGTGGACTGGATAAATAGTTCTTAATAGCATCAAAAGCAGTCTGACACTCTTCAGTCAACTTTGTCAGTGAGTCTTTCTTCACTAGCTTGAATATAAGCTCACACACCATGGTTGATTGATCTAGGAATCGACTGATCTAGTTTAACCTCCCTAAGAAACTTATCACCTCTTTCCTCGTCTTTGGCAGATGTAACTCTTGAATTGCTTTAATCTTAGAATGATCGTGCTAAATACCCCTTCTACTGACTATAAATCCCAACAATCTTCCGGGTTGAACTGCAAAAGTGCATTTGGCAGGAGTCAACTTCAAGATGTAACGACGCAAACTATCAAAGAACTTCCTTAGATGTATCAAGTGGTCCGAACTCTCGCGAGACTTGATTATGATGTCATCCACATATACCTAAATCTCCTTATGAATCATGTCATGAAATATGGTCATCATAGACCTAATATAAGTAGCATTAGAATTCTTGAGGCCAAATGACATCACTCTGTAATGATATACATCCCAAGGTGTAATAAAAAGTGTTTTTTCTGCGTCTTCTTCGTCCATCAGAGTATGTTGATAACCTGCGTTACAATCCACAAATGACTGCATTTCATGCTTAGCACAATTAACAATAAAAATATGAATATTCGAAAATGGAAAATTATCCTTCGGGCTAGCTTTGTTGAGATATATATAGTCGACGCAAATCCTAATTTTCCCATCTATATTGGTAACTAGAACATCATTGGCTAACTAAGTTAATTATTGTGTCACTTCCACCAATCGAGATTCGATCTATTTAGTGATCTCTTCTTTTATCTGGTTCACTTTTGAAATTCTGAGCCTTTTTCTTTACCAGATCGAACCCCGGACTAATCAGCAGTTTATGAGATACAACATCGGTACTCAACCCTTGCATGTCACCAGCTTCCAAGACGAACACATCAATATATTCAGCAAGCGAAGGAATTCGGTCTTTTCTTTGAGTCCAATTTAAGTGGATGCTGATCTTAACTTCTTTAACGCACTCAGAGCCTCCCAGATTTGCCATTTCTGTTTCCTCTAGATTCGGCTTATGCATGTTTTCAAACTACCGAAATTCATTGACGACATACTTTTGTTCCTCACTTTCTTCTTCGTAATCATCAACATCGTCATCACACGCCTCATTTTGTTCTTTTAGCTCGTGATTAACATGATATTGACAGGTTTTAAACTTTCTTTACAAAAACCATTAACAAATATAGTTAGACAATCAAAGAATAACAAATTAGAAAATAAATAAATTTTATAAACAAAAGAGGATTTCATTCAAATTGGAAAACAATGCAAACTTGGGCCATGGCATAGGGCCATGTTGCCTTCTTTGAACATCCCGATGGAAATTTAAAAATTCAAACATTTAAGAAAAATGCAAAATGGTGGGTCTCGGGCCTCTTCCGAACTACCACCGATTTAAATATGCATAAAATGGTGCCCTTCTACCAAGGAGTTCTGGGGATCAGGATGGGCGTGGAGGTCCAGTTCTGTAGAATCTCTCCTAGCTCAGCATCACGGAATCCTGTCAGCTCAACCTCTTCTTCAATGATAGCATCAATTTCTTTAAAAAGGCCACTGATTCCTTTCCCAAGTTCTTCATGCTCAGCATACTCCCTGACTGGGAATGATTGATACTTAGTGGGATCGGCCTAGCCAATGCTTGATCATTTTTCTTCTTTGTCTTCTGATCATCATCTGTGGTTATGTATCACAATCCATACCTTTCCCCTTTGACAGGAACAGGAAATTAAATGGGCTCAACAATTCCTTGGGAATTCCATCCCAATCCGAAACCGGGCTCAAATCCTTTTTGCATCATCACAGTAGCTATCATCTTGTAGACATTAGGAATGAGAGTCTATGGGGCCAAGTCTTCACTCGTGATATTTACCAGCTCCACCTTGTAGAAATCTGTACCTCGCGATACCTCATCAATGATTAACGCATGTCTTCCAGAGTGAATCCCTTCTCCATGAATAACTAGCTCTTCATTTTTCCATACAAGTTTCATCATATGAAGCAAAGTAGAAGGGACAACTCCAGCCATATGGAGAAAGGCCTTCCTAGAATAAGGTTATAGCTGGTATCGATGTCCAAGAGTTGAAACTGTGCACTGAATTCTTCTGGACAAATTTGGATGATCAAATTCACTGCTCCCAACGTATCCCTCTGAACCCCATCAAAGGCTCTTACATTGACCTCGTTTTGTTCCAGCTTCCCAAGGTTAAACCTTAACTACCTCAGTGTTTACAACGGACAAATTTTCAGACTAGATCCATCATCTAATAAGACATCATTGACAACCTTTCCGTGATAAACAACAGTGAATGCAGTGCCTTATTGTGGGACCTCCCCTCAAAAGGCAACTCATCGTCACAAAAGCTGATTCGATGGCCTTGAATAACCCGGTGAATCATAGCGGCCACATTATCACTGCTTGTGCCCCCGGGTACATATGTATCATCGAAAGCTTTCATCAAAGCTTGCATGTGTGATTGAGAACTCATCAACAGGCCCATATATAAATCTGGGCTTGAGTCTTCTCCAAATGCTTGAAAATAGAATAATCTTTAAGCTGCATTCTTCTCCAGAGTTCCTTTGCCTCACCCTAGCTTATTGGCCTTTTGGCTTGATCCTTTCTTTGAACTCCGAGAGAAATCTCCTCAGGAGTATAACATCTTCCAGATTGGGTCACACCTTATGCAAAGAAAGTTTCAATCACCAATTTTGTCTTGATCAAAGTTTTTGATAACACCAAGGAAACAACCTTTGCGAGTGTCAAAATAACAAACTCTTTCTTTTCATTGACGCATAAGGAAGCTACAACCTTTTCCACCTCTTCATGATCGATTGGAGTTATCACTTTCGTCCCGCACCAATCGTCGTCTGTTTCTATCATATTGCCATTGCCGCCTCCATGATTCGACAAAGGATTAGTATTGACATTAGGTGCAGCTGGTTGGAGAGAAACCACCTCTTGGTCAATTAAATCCTTAATCTTGTGCTTGAGGTTGATACAGTCCTTAGTATCGTGCCCAAAACTGTTGGAATTATAACCATATCTTTGATCTGGCCTATAGAATTTTTAATTGATATCCATGAGTTTAGGCCCTATTCATTGGATGAATCCGACTGCAGTTAGTTGCTCGTACAACTATGTTCGGCTTTCTGTGAGCGCAGTGAAATTTTTCAAAGGTTTCTTCTCGAACCGAGGTTGAGGAGGATCATAACTTCCTTGTGGGGGAGGCATCTGTTGATAACCTCTATTGTTCGGATGGGGAGCTTGATTTATGGGATATGAGTTTGTCTGGTAGTTTGGTATTGGAGCTTGGTAGTTCGGGTAGGGATTTTGATATGGTGCATCATGGACTTGATACGCTGGAGAGGGTTCTCGGTAGCTCGAGTGCACGTTAGCAAAGCTGGGATCAACACCCTAGTAGGGAGATGGAATTTGATAGGGTTGAGGATGATTTGGGTAAATGGGAGATGGATTTTGGTAATTTGGGGGTGGACTTTGGTATAGTGGATCTTTGACGTTTGATTAAGTGTAGGTAGCAGTCTTATAAATTGGAAGATTATTGGGATGACTCGCTTGCGTGTAGTAATCTTTGTATGAATTTCGGGAAGGTTGAGAGTGACCTTGGGAATATGACAAGCTTCTGGGGGTTTTCCTTCCCCCATACGAAATAGAGGCAATTTCTTCACTTTTCTTCTTCAATATTCCTAATGATTCAGGCGATGCAGCAACACTGGCTATCTTTCCTTTTTTCAACCCGTCTTTGATAGTCTCACCAACTTTGACTATCTCGACAAATTTTGCTCCTACGAGCAATAGGATTCGATCATAATACTCGGGATTTTGCACCCGCACGAACACTTCTGTAATTTCTTTTTCAGACATGGGCAGTCTCACACTTGCTGCTTCATTTCTCCACCTATAAGCAAACTCCCTATAGCTCTTGATTGATTTTTGCTTCATCTTTTAAAACAAGTATCCATCTGGAAATATTTCTACGTTGTAAGAGAATCGATCGATAAAATCGTTGGCCAATGCATTCCAGTTGGTCCATTGTCAGTGTTTCATGCTAGGTGAACCATTCAAGAGATTTTCTGCACAGGCTTCAGTTGAAGAGCTGCATCAATAGAGCTTCATCCTTACCAACTCCAACGAGCTGGTCGCAATAGGCTCTGAAGTGAGCCATAGGGTTCCACACTCCTCCGAAAGTATCAAATTTCAGGATCTTGAACCCTTCTAGAAGGTCCTACTTTGGATAAATACATAAGATTTTCATATCTAAGCCCAGCGATATCAGGGACGCATTGGAGCTCTTTCATTGATTTCTTTATCTCTTCTTTTATGTCGACCTTTACCTCTTCCTATGCCCCTCCACTTCTTTTTCTGTTCTTTATGATGGTCCAGCTCAGAACAGTGCACATCGTGCTCAACAGGGACGAGAATTTTAAAAGTGGTTCTTTTGGGTTAGGGTGGAGCTACAGAGGGACTCTTGGCATTTTTAGTGGTTTGATAAATATGTGGGTAAGTCTGCGGATTGATATTCTGATTTAAGTGGTGGTGGGATGTTTGTGGATTAAAAGTATTTTGATTTTTGTTTTGATTTTTTGGTGGTGGAGCAGTTTGATAGTGGGTATTTTGAGTATGGGGTGGTATTTAGGGATAGTTGTTTTGAGGAGGAGGTGGAGTTTAATAGGATGCGGAATCATATTGGCTATTTTGGGTAGTCAGATCTATAACCGACGGATTCTAAGTAGGTGTAGATGACGGGTTCTGGGTATGATCCATATTTGAGGAAGGGAAGTATATAGGAGATCTCCCATCAGCAGCGTTAGCAGGAAAACCTGGCGGAGGCAGATCCTGTCTCCTTTTTACCCTCATCTGTGCAATCTACTACATCATCTGCAGAATCAACTCATTCTTGTCCTCTATGGTGGTTGATAAACCACAACATCATTAAAACATACTTCTTCGTTATTATCCCCCATAACTGTCTTTCCTTTGTCTGAGCTTTGTCTAGGGAAAGAATTATTGGGACCTTTCAATCAGGTGAAATAGGGATGAT